CACTGAGCTAAATCCCCAGCTCCCGCTACTTTATATTTTTATCTACCTTCCAGAAAACATCCTTTTTCCCCAGCATCAAATAGTTGTCTTGTATTTAGGTGACCCTTTAATTGCTCAAACTTCTACCATTTTATTTATTTGGTTTTTTTCTGGTACCGGAAATCGAACTCACGATCTTGTGCTTGCCAGGCAGGCGCGTGCCGCTGAGCTAAATCCCCAGCCCCACTTCCACCATTTTAATCTCTCGCTCTCATTCTTTTTTCTCACATTCTGATTGGTACTGACTAGTTTCGCTACCTTCCAAGCCTATCTCAGTACTACAAAGCAAATGACAAGTTAAACAAAATAAAAACATGGCTGACCAAAAGTGTACCATTCTTTTAGTTTTAAAATAATAAGTACAGGGGCTGGGGATTTAGCTCAGTGGCACAGTGCCTGCCTGGCAAGCGCAAGGTTGTGAGTTCGGTTCCTGGTACCGGAAAAAAAACCAAAAAGAAAAGTACAATACGTGCTTAGGTTTGTTAACAGTACAAACAGGAGAGTATAACATGAAAGGTCACAAGTTCTTCTGCCCTATGGTCCAGTGCTCTACAGCTACACAGGCCACAAGGGAAGACACCAGCCACATGTGGCTGTTCACATCAAAAATAAAATTCAGGGCACACTCGCTGTGCTCAGCTGCACAAGCGCCCAGGGGACTTGGGAGTGTCACACTAGGAGCAGAGCATTTCGGCCGCCACAGAAGTCACCAGGTGGAGCTGCTGTGTGGGAGCCACGGTGAAGCACACACAAATATGCATCCTTTTATTGCCAAGTTCTTTATTTTTATGGTACTGGGAATCGAACTCATGACCTCAGGCTCGCCAGACAAACACTTATGCCACTGAGCTATATCCTTGGCCAATGAGATTTTTTTTTTTTTTGGTACTGGGAATCGAACTCTGGACCTTGTGCTTGCCAGGCAGGCACTGTGCCACTGAGCTAAATCCCCAGCCCTTATTGCCGAGTTCTTTACAAGTCTCTCACCACATGTATAATTTTTCAAAAACATTTCATTCTAGGGGCTGTCTTCTCATTTTCTTAATGGCACCTTTAAATTATGAGTTCTATCTTATGAAGTCCCATTCGATGTTTTCCTTGTTGCTTGTGCTTTTGGTGTTGCATCCACGGAACTTGCTCAACTTGTAGCTTTACTTCTTTTCCAAGGTAGATGGCTTTTATTTTTTAAGCCCTGGCTAAAATGTCAAGTACAAAGCTGAACAGAGTGGTTAGGGTGACTACTCCCCCTTATCTTTTATTGGTCCTATGCATCAGTGCCCTTCATCCGGCAGGTTTGGACATGTACACAACACACTCTGATCACCTGCACCCCTGCCCACACTTACCTGTTTCCCCCAGTGTCCCATTTTTTGGCCTTACTCCTGATCTTAAGGGGAAAAACATCCAGCATTCAGTCTGCCCCCGTTCGGACGCTAGGTGTGGCTGTTTGTGGATGTTGTAATACGTGGACGAAGGTCCCCTTCTATTACCAGTTTAATGTTACCATGAAAGGATGTTGCATTTTATCAAGTGCTTTTTCTGCATCTATTAAGCAATCTATGTGGGTTTTCTCCGTTATTAATGAGGTATAGTAGGATCTACACTGTTTACAATTACATAAGTAGGAATTTACCAACTTGCTAAAATTATCCTTCCTCCATCAAGACCTGTGGAACTTCTGGACTAACCTGTGGACACGAACATACTAGTGAAGAATCTGAGTTGCCCATTACACGTGTCAAGCTGAGGTCTAACAGCAACGCTCTGCCTTCGGCTCTCACAGAGGTGACAAGAGAAGGGAGACGTGGGGCAGCGGGGAAGGGGGACAGCGCAGTGGCACGCAAGCAGCTGTGGCTCTGGGGCAAGTAGGACAGAGTCGGGTTCCAGCCTCAGGCATGTCACTGAGCACTTGCAAGCCTCATTTTCCCATCTGTAAAAGGAAGAAAAAACTAGACTCTGCCAGGTGGAGTTGTTACAAGGTCTTCATCTCTGTGTGGACGATGTTTATGCACACACGCACACCCCTTCCCCTAGGAACAATGATTCCGTATTCGCTCACTCAGTGTTCGAGGTGACTTTAGAGAACATTAACGAGAACTGAGTGTGCATCAGTTTAGATGATTTTTGGATGCTAAAATTTAAATTCTGGGATAAATTCCACTTGATCATGGTATGCAATCCTCTTCCATGTTGCTGGGCTCAGTTTTCTAGTATTCTGTTAGTGATTTCTGCATTTATACAGGATACCGGTTCTGCAGTCTTCCTCTAACCTCCCTCTCCCTTTGAGCAGTCCAGGTTTGCCAGGTAGCTTGGGCTAGCCTCAAACTCCTGATCTTCCCATATCAGCTGCCAAGGACTAGGTTACAGCTGTGCAGTGCCATGTGCAGCATTCTTGTCTAGTTTTGGTGTCAGAGTAACAGTGACCTCACAGGGCACATTAGGAAGCATACTCTCTTCTTTTGGGCAGAATTTGCTAAGAGTTGGTACTAATTTTAATGTTTGATAGAATTCAGTGGTAGAGCCACCTGGGCCTGCGAGTTTCTTTGGGGGCTTTAAAAATTACTGTCTCTTTCCTTTCTATGGCTAGTTGCCTTTCTACTACTTTCCCTGGGATTGAGCCCAGGGACTTTGTACTGAGCCCTGTATTTTCAGACAGGGTTTCAGTAAGTTGCCCATGCTGGGCTCAAACCTGCAATCCTCCTGCCTCAGACTACTGGAGTCCTGCGACTATGGGCATATGCCACCAAGCTCAGCTTGCCCGCTGCCCTTTTAACCTGCTTTTAGGAAAGACCAAAAATGATAAGGATATTATCTCCTAAGCCCATTTAAAAGTACTAATTCAATCATTTCCCCTTTTATTGCCACTTGTCTTTTAAGTGCTTTTATTTCTTTTTTTTTGTCTTTTTGGGATGGGGTCTCACTATGCAGTTCAGGCTGGCCTTGAGCTCATTTTGTAGTCCAGGCTGGTCTTGAACTCGCAATGATCCTCCTGCCTCAGCCTCCCGAGTGCTGGGATTACAGGCGTGCACCACCATGCCTGGCTAAGTCTGCTTTTAGAGAGAACCACAAGTGGTAAGAATCTTTTCTCTCAAGACCTGTAAAATTTAACAAGACACTTTCAAGTTATCACAGGAAGACACTTTCAATGTCTGGAACATTCAAATAAGGAAGGAAGGCACTTCCTTCCTTATTCAAATGAGCAGCTACCAAAACTATCCAGTTACATCTCAGTTAACCTCTGCTCTCTAGCTTTAACATAGACAAATATTTTGTCACCTCTCATGTGGTTTCATGAACTCACAAACAAAAAATTTAGGCCTGTTCTGGGTAAGATTTATACATAAACCTCTTTGCTGATACTTGCACCCAAGTCTTATAATCACAAGTCAAAGCCTGTCCATACCTCAGATAATATACAGACATGCATTCCTCCCTTACCTTTTTCCCTCCTTTTCTCCCTTCCTTTCTAAAATAGTATCGTGGGGCCGGGGATGTAACTCAGCGGCACAGTGCCTGCCTGGCAAGTGCAAGGTTGTGAGTTTGATTCCCTGTACCACCACCACAACAAAAAACTTTCTTTAAAAGAAGAAAAGTCTCAGAACCCATTAGGAAGACAGTACATAGAGGAAAAATTGCCAGAACAGAATCTGTCTCAGTTCTGTGCCAGTTCTAACTTAGATGACAGGATTCACACTGTATTTCTCTCTTTCTTTTTTCGTTTTTTTGCCGGTACTGGGAATTGAACTCATGACCTCACGCTTGCCAGGCAGGTGCTGTGCCGCTGAGCTAAATCCCCAGACCCCTCAAAATGTATTTCTCAACAAAACCAAGTCAGGCCTGATCAACAGGATTCCTTCTGGTATTAAAAGTCCAATGACTTACTCTACAGTAACACCATTCCCACTCCTCTCACTTTAGAAAAGTCAAAATAAAAATATCTTTGTTATGTTACATACATACATATACACCTCTGTTATATACATACATCCATATTTCATTCTCACAGAACAAATCATTCAATTTACATGTCTAAAAACAGAAAACAAGAGGGAGTCTATGGTTAAATAATGTTATTCCATCATCTCAAAGTCTTGAGCTTATGAAACAGTTGTCACCAATTTTCTCTCCGTATGTATTTGCCATTTCACAGTGCCTCACTTTACACAAGTACAATTTCAGGTAAGGCATCTAGGAATTATGTGAACTTTCAAAAATAAGGTCACTTTTCAGAAATCCTGAGCCCATCAGAGACACTGAATGGCATTTCATCAGTTGTCTCCACCGGCACGTTACTCCTACCAAACCGACAGGAGTAATGGTGGGTGTGGTAACTTGAAATGAATGCATTAGGAGTCCGGCTGCAGTGGCATCTGTCTGACGGCATAACGCTCTCCGAATCAGCAAGATGGGAATGGTAGACACCATGGAATGGGTCCTGAGATGAAGGATAATGCCCCGTTCCCCCAGAGGTCCGTGTGGCGCTGTGGTAAGGCCCGTCGGACATCAGGCACGTCTGGTAGCAAGTCTTCCTGCCCAGGCCTCGGTGCATGTCTAGCTTAGCAATGAGAGGCTTCCCGACGTTCACTTCTTGTTTCTCCTCCACAGTGTCCTCTAGTCCCGAGTACTGATACGATAAACACACTGTGAAGATCAGATGTTCCTGAGAAGCAAAAGAAAGGAGGCTCACCATTTTCATTAACTGTGAAAACGTATCAGTCTTAGGATTTCATTCCCACACACAATAACAGAAACCTACTCAGCGCCTCGAAGGCAGCCTTCGCCATCTCCCCTACATGAGGAAAGGCCAGCTGTTAATTCGCTTCCTTTTCCTTCATTCAATACTTAGGAGTTTAGTAGAATCACTTCTTACTCTGGTAAAGAATCAGAATCACACAGACTTTTTATCAGATTTCTGATACCTTATCTTTTCCTATTATTGGAAATGGGGATTATCCTTTAATGTAAAAATGATGTACATGTATCAGTTCTCCAAGATGAATGTAATTATTACATCTTACAAACATACACTGATACAAAACAATCTGGCTTTACACCTGTCAAAAATGTAAGCTGTTTAAAATATTATGAATAACTTGCGGGAGTGGTGGTGCATGCCTGTAATCCCAGCTCCAGGGAGGCTGAGGCAGGAGGACTGTTGTGAGTTCAAGACCACCCTGGGCTGCAAAGTGAACTCAAGGCCAGCCTGAACTGCATAGAGAGACCCTGTCTCAAAAAGAAAAAAAAAAAAAAAAAAATTATGAATAATCCAGAATCGTAAGAGAAAAATATGACTGAATCAGGTAACAGGCAAAATCTTCACGTGCTGACTGTAAGTAGGCTGGGCATGAACAGGTGGCAGCACGTATACGCCTGCTGTCTTCACGCAGCTGTCAAGTGCCCGTTCCATTCCTTAAGTGTTGCCTGAGATCTTCTATGATCTTCAGCTATGAGTAAATTAAACTCAATGTTTGCAAGGACATGACTTTATTAGAAAGCTTAACCATGTAAAGCTACCCTCTCATTTGCAAGTCAAGTAGAAATGAAAGGGATTGAAAAGATATTCCAATTTGAATTTGTATGCTTTACAGAAAGTCACAGAACAAGGAAGTGATTATTTCAAAATGCAAAGGTATTTAGAAATACAATATGCTGTACGTTGCTAACTTCTCAATCATATGGAGGGTAAGCACATGGATTTTCACAAAAATGTCCTCAGGCCATTTAGGGATAGAATACAGTGGTGCCTCGGTTTATGAGCTTAATTTGTTACACAATTTTGGAAAAGATGGTCGTGTGTGCTTATGTTTGTGCAGCAAAGATGGCTGCAGTTGTGTTCGTCACCCAATGCAGAGTTCACAAACAAAAAACAAGATTTTGCCAAACACTTCTGTCTGTGAACCAAACTGTTTGCAATCAAAAGCGTTTGTGAACTGAGGCATCACTGTGTAATATGAAAATGGTCACTGAGAAGACACATTGTAGATTGGTTATCTCTACTGCAATATCGAAAAAGTCAGCATATTTATGGACTACACTGGAGAATTTTCAGTTTCAGGTAGTTTTTTATTAGTAACTATTCACGGGAAAGAGAATCACCTTTAATTTTTGCAGGGAACTGAGTCTTGTGTAGAGGCAGTGCTTGGGCAGCTCCTTTGATACTAAGTAGCTGCCCGTTTCCTCAGGAGACCCTTTATTTGCATCTTTTGGATCAATATCTAGGTCCTGTGGAAGAAATCAGTGCATGTTATAATGCAATCACCGAAACTCTTAATACAGTTTATGGCATAAAACATGTGGACGGGTGTAACTCTCATGAATTTGGCTTGAGAAGGCAGACCTTTATCCACTAAAGAAACGATGGAAACAATGTTCTATGGTTATAATTAGAGTTCAACATTCTGCACTTTAAAAGGTAAGATTAGGCAGGCTCAATGGCACACTCTTGTAACCCCACCTGGGAGGCTGAGGCAGAAAGACTGTAAGTTTGAGGCCAGCAGGGGCAAGACTGTTTCAAAATAAAAAGAGGGGTAGTACTGACATCCTGGTTTCAATACCTAGTGACACACACACACACACACACACACACACACACAGAGTTGGCTCTGAAAGGACAGTTTCTTTCAAATTATTCCTCTAAACACATCTTACCATACTCAAGTTTCCTTTCTGGTAGGGAGAGCCCTACTAGTGCGTGACTCCTCGATTCCCTCTTTATCATCACTTTGGGAAGGTGCAGGGGGATTCGTATGTTTAGAGTAACTAGGAAGAATAAACCATCAGGCTAAGGTCAGTCTTCCCCTTTTTTGGTCCTTTTAGAACCAACCCACGGGCGAGGGAGAGGACTGCTCTGCTCCTCCACAGGAAGCCGCTGGCTCTTCGCGGCACCACAGCGAGGAGCCTACCCTGCGCGGTGCTGCTGTGGGGGCGCTGTGCTATTCTCAAGTGCGCTGCGACACCCTCTGCTCGCACAAAGCAGTGTCCTCCACAAAGCCTCCACAGTAATAAAAACATTTCGGATTTCTGTTTCTCTTCGCTTATTCCTCAGTCTCTCATATCTATGTAGGAAAGGGGGGCACTATTTATTGGCTTCTTTAGAACAAGACAAAAATAAATTTTGTAACTAAATGTTTGGAAAGAACAGAACTAGAATTCTATTCTTTCAATCTACTATCGTAACTTGACAAGTAAGTCTTAAGCTGTTCCAATAACACACTGGAAACTTACCCTTCACTTACGACAGCATGTTTTATTCTTTCACATTTGATAACCTTTTTGGGCTATGAGAAATTAAAGGCACCCGTCAGGAGTGAACACAGGTATTTTCAGATTTGACAAAGTATGCTGGCAATATTAAACACTGTGATAGTGTTACTGACGCACAAATAAACACACATGTAAACTTACATAAATGTATTTTCTTCACATTTACCATCAGATTTAAGTTTTTAAAAGTGTAGTCTTGAGGTGTTTTTTTTTGGTAGTGGTGGGGACTGGACCCAGGGCCTCACACATGCAAGCACTGAGCTACATCCTCAGCTCAAAGGTTTAGTCTTTAGTAGTAAGGATACATCACTGTAATTTAAATAAAAGGGAATGGAGAGACTTACGAGTGGGAAGTCAGTGACATAGGCATCGCACATTAATATCTCCGGCGGTTTGTGGACTATACTTGTGTAGATTATCATGACGTTGGAAAACTCAGCTGCAAATCCTAATTGAATCTGAACACCACATTGAAATTTAAGGCACATGCTTTCTGGAAGTTCTGGAAAAAAATCCCAGTAAGAACAACTTAGAAAACATTATTTAAAGAGTGCTAAGTTTCTGATAAACAGCAAATATCCTAAATAGGGCAGAATATTGAGTCTTTTCTTTTACTTAAAATTACATAATTCTTTTAAAAAAACACATATACAATAAAACAAAAAAGCTCATTCTGCTGACCAAACAAATCAAATTTTTCATTTACTACACTTGTCCATCTTCACATATAATTTTCATAGCAGTAATTCAACGTATACATATAATCACAGATATATTTTAACTGATGTCTTAAGTTTTCATGACCAGAATTTTTTTTCAGTGCTGGACGTGGAATCCAGGGGTTACTGCATGCTGGGCAAATGTGCTACCACGGAGCTACACTCTTGCACCACGACAAAAAGTTTTAATCAACATATTATCACTATAGTCATTGTTAACTTTGATTATTCATCTAGGCCAATAGCCCAGAGTGGCCCTTCTACTGAGTATCTATAATATTTCTGGGTTTTATCACTAGTCTATCATAGTTAATATGTCATGTATTTAAAATAGCATTGTTGGAGAAAGCTATTTGACAGTTCTTAAAATATATGACAAGTTGTTTTTAATTTAGATGTAAAAGAAGTTTTGCTTTTTAAAATGTTTATTTGATGGACTAAAAATACACTAAGAATTTTCTTTACTAACTACATTTCTCGTTCTTAATTATTTATCTAAATTATGTATTAAAATTACATAACTTGTTTATTCACTGAGGGAGAGAGCCTAATGTTTTTTTCTCATTTTGTATGAATTCTTTATTATATTAAAAAATCTACTTATTAGATTTGTTACAAATACTTTCTACATGAGCTTTTATTTTCAATTTATAAAAGGCTTTGCTTACTGTTGATTTTTACCACTGTAATTTTGTTACTATTGTTATTCTTTTTGTGGATAAGAAATTCAATTTCAATTACTTATGTAATTATCTGGAACGTCAAAATAGTATATTTCTAGCACTTTACATTTCAAAGTGCTCTAATTTGTTAATTTAACAAAAATATATCTTGGATAAAAAACTATTATGAAAAGGAAGATACTTTATGGTTCAATAAATACAATTCTTTTCTAATTATCTCTGGTAAGAAAGTCATAGAATACTTAGGACTCAAAGAAAACCCTAAATATTTCAGTCAATAAACTTATCTTTTCACTAAGTCACACAGAATTACCACAAGGTGATTAAGCTACAGACATGATGTTCACCTCGCCGTCTCTTCATCACCCCGTGCACTCATCTAGCGTCACAGAGAAGGCGCGACTGGTGTTTACCAGCCATGCTTCCCCCAGGCGGGCCTCATGCAGTCCCACCACCTCTGCGCAGCGGGGTAAGGCTTCTCCAGAACTTACAGACAACGTATTTCTCAGGCTGTGGAGACTGGGTGAAAATCTAGGCCTGTCTGATTCTGGACAGCTGCACACTTTAATAGTCCGAGCGCAGAAGTTAAAGAATGCACAGGCAAATAAAAAATTAACTCACTCTAAAGACAGAAGAATTAAACATGATCATTTAAGTTGGATCAATGATAACAGTGGGCTAAATAATTTCATATCTTTCACATCAGATAAGTCAGTGCAATGTCTACAATTCAGTGTGCAGTGCTTATAATTAAAATGTTTGTTTAGTTTCAGATTTGCCTACTGGGCCAAAAACTGTTCAGTAAGAAATTTGGAAGAAAGTTTTAGTCAGAAGGAAAACTTCATGATTTCAAATACTGTACGACAGAAAGAGCTCACAGAGACAGACTCCACCATACCATGCGCCTTGGCCCACTGCAGGTTGCGCACCAGAGACTCGGCGGAAGACGCTGTCCCTTGAATCGGATCAGTGAGGGCTCGCTTTTCAGACAAACTGCTTCGAATCTCCAGAGCCTGTTTACCTTTGGTAAGGTGACATTTGCCCATATCTAAAAAATAAGTAAATATTATTTTTCATACCACCAATCTTTTTGTTATATTTTAAATATTCAGGTAAAAAAATTTCTTAGAAATCAGGTTTTATTTTCATATCACCCAGTCACTCAACATTTACTGAGCAACTCTATGTGCCAGACACAGTACAAGGTACTGAGGCTGTAACAGTGAGCAAATATAAAATACTGCACTTGTTTGAAACGGCTGGAAGTACATTCTTTTCTAAAAGAGCAGCCATGCTGGGCACGGTGGTGCGCGCCTGTAATCCCAGCACTCAGGAGGCTGAGGCAGGAAGATCCAGGCCAGTTCCAGGCCAGCCTGGGCTACAAAGTGAGTTCAAGACCAGCCTGAACTGCATAGTGGGACTCTGTCTCAAAACAACAACAAAAGACAAAAAAACAAATAAAAGAGCAGCCAGGATCATTTTATGTCCTTACTCTGCTGAGAAGTACATTCTGTTAGAAAAACAAATGAATGCATATGCATGAGAAAAGCTAAAGTAACAGCGCAGCCAAATTTGATATCTTTTTGTTTTGGTGTAGTACCCATGGGACCTCCTGCATAGTAGGCATAGTAGGCAAGCACAGTATCACTGAGCTATTTTACCAGCATTTAAAAAAATTTTTTGCTTTTGGGAAAGGCCTTGCCAAGTTGCTCAGGCTGGCTTTGAACTTATGATCCCCCTGGCTCAGTCTCCTGAGTATCTGGAAATACAGGTGAACGGCACTGTGCCCCAGTTTACCTAAAATATCTTTACTGTTAGAACAGGAAATAATGTGTTGAAACTACCCATAGCGAGACCCTGTCTCAAAAAAAAAAAAAAAAAGAAAGTAGCCTGGACAACACAGCAAACAAACCAATTAATAATAGCTAATTTTGAGAAGGTGGTCACTCATTGGGGGAAAATGTATAAAACTAAGATCTCATCCCTTTAATACACACACACACACACACACACCCCCACCCCCACCCAAAAAACTAATTCAGAACTAAGTCTAAATTACATCAACCTGTTAGGGATAGGGTGGGGAAATTAAAGATTACAAATATATGCTGAAATTATTATTAGTTGTTAGAGGACAGAAAATATAGAAATAATTTTTTTAAAAAGATGAAAAAGAAGAAAAATGAGCCAAATAAAAAAGATGGTTAAAACACAAACACATGTAAATGAACTAAATTTTCTAGTTTACAGAGATTATCAAATTGGATTTAAAAAAAATCTGTGGTGCCAGGTGTGGTGGTGCATACCTGTAATCCCAGCACCAGGGAGGCTGAGGCAGGTGGATCATTGCAAGTTCAAGACCAGCCTGGGCTATAAAGTGAGCTCAAGGCCAGCCTGAACTGCATAGCAAGATTCTCAAGAAGACCAAAAAAAAGCCTCAGTATCAAAAAATACCAGTAATTCCGAAGCACACTACCAAAATATTCAGGAAATTTTATAAAAAATTTTCCAGGAAACAAGAAGGAATATCACTGAATTAGGATTCACTAGAGAAATGGTTAGCAACGAGATGTGAAGTGGATATGTATTTGTGTGTGTTTGTGAGTGAGCAGGAGGTAGAGGTTATTTTAAGGAAATGGCTCAGCGGCTGTGGTGGACAAGTCTAAAATCTGCAGGGTATGCATGATGGTGCATACCTGTATTCCCAGCACTCAGAAGGCTGAGGCAGGAAGACTGCTATAAATTCGAGGCTGGCCTGGGAATACACAGGGAGTTGAAGGCCAGCCTGAACTACACAGCAAGACCTTGTCTCAAAAAAACCAGAACAAAACAGACAAAAAGAAAAAAATCTGCAGGGTAGGTAGACAGGCTGGGGATGACACTGCAGAGCTGCAGTTTGAGCCCCAAAGGCAATCTGCTAGCTGATTCCTTTCTGCTTCGGTGATGTCAGTTTTGTTAGTAGATCTTCAACTAACTGGAGGAGGCCTACCCAATTATACAGTTATCTTCTCTACTGAATGTCCACCAATTTATGTTAATCTCATGCAGAATAACATTGGATCAAATACCTGGAAATATCTTGAGTAATGTTGGATTAAATATCTTGGCACTGAGGCCCAGTGAGGCCCGGTCAGGCTGATATAAAATTAACCATCGTAACAGCCAACTCATTCTACAACACCAGCATAATGCTGATACCAAAATCAAGCCAAATGGTACGAGAAAGTAAAATTATAGGACCATTTCTCATATTAACATAGATGTAAAAATTCTAAACAAAACGTTAGCAAAGTAAGTTTAGTAGTATTAAAAACGTACCCCTATGAAATTATCTCAAGCTGAAATAATATTAGGTTTTTTATAAATTTAATCATATTAAGAGATTAAAGGAAAAGCATATTATCTTCTTTATAGTTGCACAAAAACCATTTAATTATGTTCAACAATCATTTATAGTAAAAATTCTCAAAAAATCAGGGACAGGAAAGAATCGCCTTAACCTGACACAGCATCTATTAACTACTTTCATTATACTAAATGTGCGAACACTCGCAGGATTCCCTTCAAAATCAGAAAGGAGAGAAGGACGCCTGTCCCTGCCATTTGTACTCAATGATATCTTACAGGTCCTGGCTTGTTCTGTATGATGAACATATGCGACATTACTTTAACCAGTAAGAAATGCAAAAATAACACGATGGAAAATGGACAAAACACATAGATGCATTTTTCTCCTAAGAGGATATATATATATGGCCACTGAAAATATAAGCAGTGTTCAATATCACTAGTGTTGAGGAGAAACCAAATCAAGACCACATGAGATACCATTTACAATCATTTGGCAAAAATGAAGAAGTGTGATGTATCAAGGGAGAGCTCAAAGGGAAGCTCAGTATGTAAGACAGATAAAAGCAGAACTTTCCTGGCCGAAGCCGGAGGGTGGGAGGAAGTCCAAAGCCCTGGCAGGCTACGTTAAGAAGTAGAGTCATGTGGTCTTGCTAAAATATCTACATTGATAAAAACATGAAAAATGTGACTCATAGCTGTTAAGCTGTTCACTATTTACAAACTGCCATCTCTGGAACATTCATGAAACTGTATTTTTTAGCGGGGCTAGTTTGTAGAAGTGTTATATTCTCTTTTTTGTATGGCTTATACAAGGGTGTCTCAAAAAACACACCACAATCTACTGATGTTAATAGGCATATACTCAGCACCTGACATGAGCGTTAGTAGTGCACCACAGGGAGAGATGGGGACAGAGGACATGAAAGACATGGCATTATAACTCTGGAGCTCATCCTTAAAGAAAGATTTTTAAAAACTACTAAGTTCATTAAGAAAAGAAAGAACTAGGTTACATTCATTTGATGATATTTTTGTAAAGTTTTTTCTCTCTAAAAATGGGAGAGACAGCTCATTGGACAACATTTTTTCTTCTTTTTCAAACAAGCAGATTGGGCAGCACTGGGGCCCTAGGCATAGAAACAAGGTAAAGCTCTGAGGATCAAACTTTACTACACCAGTTGGACTGGGGTTGGCCCAGTTGTCCAAGCGATATTGCACATACGATGTACAGCTAAGTCAACAGGGAAGGGAGGAATTAAACAACAGAAGTGTTAAGTATGTTACAAATTATTTTATAAAATAAACAATTCCAAACACAAATCACAACAGTTGAAATAAAATCACCAACATGCAGGGAACCATGAATAGGTTTTTCTCTTGTTCTTTTTCCTGAGCAGTCTACTTTGTTTTTTAACTTTACCTTCTGCAACTTCATCTAGTAACACAGTAATTTTCTTGTCTTCAAGTAATCTATCTTTTAAAAATTTCATGAAGATTCCATTTGCCAATCCAGAATGCTGGATTTCAAAAGCTTCTGCTCCTTGACACCTTAAGAACACCAAAACAAATAGATGAAATAAGCCGGGCACAGAAAGACGAACACCACATGTTCTTACTTAAATACGGAAGCTAAAACAACCACACACGCAGAGGCAGAATGCAGAATGGTGGTTACTGGGGGCTGCAAAGTGGGGGAAACAGGGAAATGCTGGTCACAGCTCAAAATGCTTTTGTTAGGCAGGCAGAATAAATGGTAGGTATCTGGGGCAATTAGCTTGATTCAATCATCCCACACTGTATACACATATCATAGCATCCATTAATATATACAACTTAATTAGTCAATATGCAGTTAAAAATAAATTTAAAAAGAAAGAAAAATGTGAAGAAGCAAATGCTTGCTGCATGGGGTGTACACACACACCAATGAGCCTGAGCCTCATTCTCTCCTCTAGGAGTTAATCTTTCGGCAGGAACGAAATGCTTTGGTGCATAGTGATAAGATGCCAAGTCATGAAGTATTAAAGTCAACTTTATGCCCAGATGTCCATGGATGCTTCTAGGTTTTTGACATCCAATCAAAAAGAAGGTATCAAAGAATACAGAGTTTCAAAAAAAAAAAAAAAGAATAAGGAGTTTCAGCACAAACATCAAGTGTCCTTACGTGGCATATCCAAACACGATATTGGCAGTGACTTTCAGTGCATCCAGGATTGGAATGGTATCATCATAGTCATTTCTATTTAAGGGTGTGGGGAGGAGAGAAGGGTAGAGCAAACATGTAACATTAAACAGCATTCTCTAAGAATATAATACAATAAAATATTATTTTTGTATATATAATTTAAAATGACAGATTTTAAATCTTTCATCTAGTCAGCTACATATTAATCAAAATTACTCAGGGTTCCTACACTATGGAGAAAGTGGACAGTCATATCCTTCCTTTTGTAAGAGGAGTTGCATCTGAATGTTAGCACTGGATTTTGATTGTAAATCCTGAGCAAGCAAAAAACAGTAAAGCCTGGAGGAATGATCACTGGTTCTGTTCCTTAGCGATTCACAAATGGAACCCAAACCCTCGAGTATCTGCGTTAGCTGTATATTTACAAGACCAGGCCTGACTAGTGACCAACCACACATCTTATGGGTATGGTTTTAATAATTCCTCAAGGAGAAATGGAGTGAGTGTTACAGACACGCACAGGCATTCTGGAGAATCGATACCCTGTAGTATGAGTAGGCACCAATGCCTTCTAGTTCTTTTTTTTTTTTAGTTTTTCTCCGGTGCCGGGAACCGAACTCACGACCTTGCGCTTGCCAGGCAGGCGCTTTGCTGCTGAGCTAAATCCCCAGCCCCCGCCTTCTAGTTCTTCATTTTTGCTTTACTGTAAGCAAGAATGGAGTTAGGAATACATATGAAAAGTGTATTCCTCTAGATTTCTTCTTTCAACTTCAATGTATATAGTCAGCAACTGTGAAACTTAAACGGTTGCTGGTATCTCACGGTTTGCCTAAGACTTGGCAAAGTTGCTATTTAACTCCAAGGATCAGGGCTGGGGATATGGCTCAGTACCGCCACACCTTTCTGACAAATGCAAGGTCCCGAGTTTGATTTCCGGGACCACAAAAAAAGCGGGGGTGGGGGAGAGAACAAAAGAATGAAACCAACAATTGTTCAACAGAGATAAAAAGTTTTACCTTTTCCGACACATATCCAGCAAGAATACATTAAGTCCGGTTTCTTTTTCTTGCATCAACTTCAGTATATTTTGTACGCATAGACAATTTTCAGACCTATATGGGTTTGGAGCATCAACAGGGACCATAAAGCTGTTCCCAAAGTTTTCATAACCATGCCCTGCGTAATACAGTAAACCTGAAATGAAAAAAAGGAAGAGAAGAGACAGGTATTAACTCAAAGTGTAATTTGAATATACCACAGGAAACTTTAAAAAAAAACGGTTTTTATTTTTTTTTCAAGTTGATGCAAGCATATTTAAGAAATACAGCCAGGTGTGGTGGTATACGCCTGTAATCCCAGCACTTCAGAGGCTGAGGCAGGAGGATCATTGCAAGTCTGAGGCCAGCCTGGGCTACATAATGAGTTCAAGGCTAGCATGGACTACATAGTGAGTCTCAAAACAAACAAACAACCTCTCCCTTGCCAAAGAAATATTCAATTACATAGTCAATAGTTTGCATTCTAAATTATTTTGGCAATAGTCTTCATTTGAATTCTGTACTTTAAAACAGTAAGATGCTATGTGAAGTATATTCTAATTCATAAAAGTAACACATTTGTAATCAGAGGCATGAAATGGAAAGCAGGGAAGGGGCTTAGTAAATATTTAATGGGTGAGCAAGCAAATACAGTTCAAGATTCTTAATATCATTAGCCAGTAGGGTAATGCAAATCAAAACCATAGTAAGACACTACTTCATACTTAATAGGAGAGCTATAATAAAAAAAGAGACAAAAACAAGTATTGGTAAAGATGTAGAGAAACTGGGACTCATTTACTTCTGGGGGGAATATAAATGATACAGGAACTTTGGAAATAATTTAGTGGTTCCTCAAAAAGTTAACACAGAATTAACATATAATCCAGCAATTCCACTACCCGGTATATGCACCCTAGAGAAGTGGAAACTTATGTCCCCATAAAAATATGTACACAAATGCTTACAGCAGAATTATTCATAATATCAAAAAGGTGAGCTGGGCGTGGTGGTGCACACCTGTAATCCCAGCACTCAGGCGGCTGAGGCAGGAGGATCAGTGTGAGTGCCAGGCCAGCCTGGGCTACAAAGTGAGCTCAAGGCCAGCCTGAACTGCATAGTGACACCGTCTCAAAAAGACCAAAAAAA